TTATATATATGCACTTTTCATTGACTGTACACACACAAACAAAGGGATAGGGAAGGTATTATATGTATTATATGCAAACTGGGCAACATTGTGCCTGCTAACCTCAGTCATGGTGATAACTGTCATGAACTGGTTGATTATTAACCACTGCTAAAGTGCTTTGGCTAAGTAAACTCCAAAATTGTCCTCTACATAGGAACTGAGAGGGAAGTGCAGGTTTCTCTAACCACATGTGAGCCTCCAGTCTAGGTGATCCATCATATCCAATGCGGTCAGTTCTTGCGAACCTGAGCGTACGTTTGTGCACCATTAGCATCAGGCTGAGGAGCTGGCCTCTTCATTCGCTGCAGGTGTGCATCATAGGTGGGAGGTGACGATGTAGCAGGGGCATTGTTGTGCACACGAACCTGAGCATATTCTGATGAGTTATTCTGTTCCCCCAGCTGGACTGTCCCCCCATCTTTGTTCCTGACAAACTTGATATCTGCATAGTTCAGCTCCTACAAAAGAAAAGGTGAATGAAAAATAATGTTCACCTATGTTTTAAATTCAGTATAATCTAACATTTTGGTTATATCACATTAGATTACATACTAGTAGGTAAACAAATGTAATTTCATTTAGCCTAAAAACAAGAAAAACTGTGTCAAACTGTTGTATGGGGGTTATACTCAAGTCAACTGAATATCTTCTTCCTGGTTCAAAGTCTGATGTTGAACACTGTGGTAAACACAGTCTGATAGATCACAGGACAGAGGAATCAATGAAGCAAACCCTGATCACAGACTGGCCACTAATATATTATGGCCAACTATAAAAAGATAAGATGAACCTTTATGGATCGCCAGCTGGGAAGTTCAGTTGTTATCCAAGAAGCACTCACATTTAAGGTTTAAGCAACTTATATTTCTGTCAAAAGTCTGCAAACAGTGTGATTTTATCATTTCTTGCATATTTACTTGCAACTTACTAGTTCATTACTAATTTCTCATATGGCTGTAACTATCACTACTATAGCTGTTAATAATAATAATAATAATAATAATAATAATAATAATAATAATAGTAATAATAATAATGAATAAAGGCTTGTGTGAACTGCAGAATTGTATGTTTCACCATTTGATGCTACTAAATTATAGCAGTAGGGCCATACCCTTTGCTGGGAGAACTGGTTCTCAGATGCACAACCTGA